GTGGCAAAGAAAGGAGCATACGACACTAATGTACATAAGACTACCGTAATCACATAACCTTTCTCTTCCCTCGTCGCAGTCCACCTTGGCGCTGGGCTTTTGAGGCAAGCACGACCCTATAAAAAGAACAATTCTGCCTGGATTCGAGTAACCAGCTTTTTTTCCAATTCAAGAAAATTTACTACATAAAGCAATATAATCTGACTATTACCCTTTCATTTGCTCTACCGTGAGCACCATATCACTCTCGAAAAGTTTGTTAACAAGTGGACGATTTGCACCCATTTCTGTACCATCATACAATGGTTGCAGTACACGACCAGAATCCTGTGAAATGGAAAGTTCGTTTATTGTTTGAAGCTTCAAGATTAGTTAGTTTCCCATTAAGATGAAGCCGTTACCTGGGCAGGGACGGCAGGTTTTGAACCAGCAATAGCCTCAAAAAATGCTTCCATAAGAGTTTGTACGGCACCGTAATCTTCATTAGCGCCATGGTGATGATCAGAGAAAGTGGCAATTTCGCGAATCATCTAAAATGTATAACTACAACATGGTACATTACCACATGTGCTATGTACCTCCTTATGGCAATGTATAAAGCCCTAACTCAAAACACTAACCCGAGCTGTATTATGGGCCAGTAGCTTCGGACTCGGCTGAGTTGGTGCTGGTGGAGGTGGAAGGGTGAAAGGCAACGTCACCGGCGTGTTTACCGGTACTATTGGGGTGAGAGTAGTTGCGACCAATGGCGCCGCAGTTTGTGGTGCCCAATTCCAGTATGCCTGTTGTTGGTGGACAGGCGGTTGTTGTATGAAGGATTGTGGCCGAGGTACAGGCTGTTGTATGAACTGCTGGGGCTGAGGTGGAGGTTGTTGTATAAACTGCTGAGGCTGATAGGGTCGTTGTATGAACTGCTGAGGCTGAACTGGAGGAGGTTGTTGTACAGGAGGCTGCTGTGGCCGCTGAGGTTGCTGGATCAGGTTCTGCTGATATGCACTGAAAATCAATTTTCGTAGCAGATTTGGTTTGCATATCAAGCACATATCGAGATGTTTCAAAAGAATGCATAATGCGATGAGAAGTATTTGAAAATATCCCAGAAATACCGTATAGTACATAGGTGAAGAAGGGGATGTTTGAACTGCGTGCTGTTCCCGATTAACTAACAACAGTCGATCAATAATCGTTTATATTCATTACTTAGTTTTTGAGAAAAATTTTCAGCTTCAAACCAAAAGTGACTATTACCAGTAGGCAAATGTGATTTTCAACGTTTGAAAGCGAAATTTTGATTGATTTTATCCTGTAGTCATCGAAAATGGTGGACACTGGATCATGTGAGGTTTCCGCTAATAGGACTGTGCGTATTTGAAGACATTGATTACTAGTATATACGTTACTGTTAGAACAGCTTTAAAGGAACTTTTATTCAACTCCCCTTTCTGAGCTCACTTAGCAAATCTACAGACAGATGTGGTAATTCTTTAGTTACATCTTGTCAGAGGAGGAGAGTGCAAGAAGGGATGAAGCAGATAGAGTCGGTAATCAGGTTTTGCGCACATAGTAAAATTGCACTACTAACATAAGCTCGAGAATTTGAGTAATGATTGATGAAAGTTTTTTGGAGTAGGATTTTCATCTGCTCATGTGATTACTACGCAACTCAAGGGGTGGTAGTAAACCCCGGAATTTGTCACAACAAGAACGAGCCACACTGGTGACAGCTTCGAGTATGGCATAAGTTAGTCACGAACTTGGCATGAGTTTTTTTCAGTAGATTTGGGATTGACGCAAAACATGCACCCGGCCGTCACCGAACTTTTGTTGAGCGGGCGTCAACGGCTCTCATAACCACTGCATATCAGTAGAACAAATGTTGCCCCATATACCTACATGTTACCGTATAGAATGCTAC